CGGGACGTGACGTGTCGTGACTGTTGACACAGCCAAACGGAATGTTCACTGAATTCTTAGGGGTAAAAACGGAGGTTAATTTCAACTGCCGACTTTCCGAGAGACTGACGGAATCGGGTCGACTAGTATCTGTCCCAATGGACACGAGCCCTTAGCTTGGGTTAGCCCTTACAAGAATGGTCAAAGTCCGCCCCTTGTATGATCTAAAGTGTGTCGATGGAGCGGAGACGCGAAAAAGTATTTATTAAGGAAGAAGAAAAGGCAGAGAGACGAGGAGGTCATCCATGTAATGATTATTCTCTCTTGGGATTGGAACTCACGTCTTTCGACTTTGATAACAATAAATAGTCTAACAAATCATCCCACCACGGACTCTGGTCGGTGTTCTCCGATGGAGGAAAAAGAGGGTACATTTGATAATTTTTGTTCTCCTCATTTTTTCGTCTACCTCAACTTATTTTGCGACGTAAGAATTTAGGTAACAACACTAAGAACATTGCTAAAGGGCATAGTGCCGACTGCAATAGTTTTAAGAAAATGTTGATGATATCATGCAATGGCATTCAGGAAAGGGGGTGGTTGAAGGGCGCCACTGTTAGGTCCTACTTTTTCCCTTTTCCTCAATTGTTTCTGTCTAAGTGTCTTACTTTTTCCCGGCACAAAATTATCATTTTTGTGTTAATGCGCTTCTCTAATTTGCGAACAAAGTTTTAAAAGTAGAATAGCGTAACATCACATTACAACATTGCCTTCCCATCTCCTCAGCCAGATGAAACGATATCAAGCACTCCCCCCCCCAAAAAAAAACACAAAAAAACCAAACAAACGAGGCAGTCAAATAATTTCTGTGTGAACTGTCCTGCCCGTGTGTTGAAAATGGAAAAAGGCTAAGTACAAGTCGGTAGAGAGCTTGATCATATCTCGAACTGCCTTAGTAAAACAAAACGTTTTGGGAGTTTAGAATCAAGGCGATCCACACTATCACATAACATGATGCCAACTGAGCCAACGGCACTCCTGATCACAGGATCGAGCTGATAAACATGAGATGTTTGTCCCTAGAAATGAACGATTGCTTTGGAGATGCTGCATGCTGCACCCCCCCCCCCCCCCCCCCCCTTTTACTTTTTTTTTTCTCTACCCCAACACAAACTCGGCCCTTTATTAAGGGATCTTCATTTCATCAATATTGTATCAGAGTTTCTTGTGGCACATTATTTTGTTTGTTTGCTTTTTGCAGAAAATATCAATCTCTTCTCAAAGTTGGAGCTACATCGGGGGGTTGGCGGGTAATTTAGTGTGGTTTACTGGTTTACTCCTTCTTTCCTAAATAAAAGTCTATCGTCCCTACCCCTTCTTCTTCCTTTCCCTGTATTTTGCTCTCTAGTAACATTTCCAATCTTCGGCACTTATATGACCTCTTTTATATAGCATGTGCTGTAAAACTCTTACTGAAACAATAACTTGGAGTTGTTCACTGTAGCTGTTGCTGCAACTGTTGCTGATGTGGTCATGGCGTCGAAGACGAGGCGTTGTTGTTGTTGTTGTTGTTGTTGTTGTTGTTGTTGTTGTTGTTGTTGTTGCTGTTGTTGTTGTTGTTGTTGTTGTTATTGCTGATG